CTTAACTGATTGAGCCACCCAGGTGCCCCATCCCATTCAGTACTTTGAATATATCATGCCAATCCTTTCTTGCCTGCCAGGTTTCTGTGGAGAGCTCTGCTGTGAACCTGGTTTGTCTTCCTTTATAGGTTAAGGACTTTTTTCCCCTACTGCTTTCAGGCTTCTTTCCTTGTCTGTGTATTTTGTAAAATTTAGCACAATATGTCTTGGTGTTGGCCAGCTTTTGTCGATTTTTATGAGACTTTTCTGTGCCTCCAGGATTTTGATGTCTGTTTCCTTCCCCAGATTAAGGAAATTTTCAGCTATAATTTGCTAAAATAAACTTTTTGCTCCCCTTTTCCTCTCTTTTTTTGGGGACTCCTATGATACTCATGTTATTATGCTTCATGTAGTCACAGAGTTCTCTAAGTCTACATTTGTGATCTGATACTTTCCTTTCCCTCTTCTTTCAGCTTCAGTATTTCCCCTAATTTTATCTTCTTTATCACTTATTCATTCCTCTGCTTCTTCCAACCTTGTTGTCATTACATCCTATCAGTTTTGCATCTCAGTTATGGTATTTTAAAATTTTTGCCTGACTAGTTTTTAGTTCTTTTATCTCTGCAGTAAGGGACTCTGTAGTGTCTTATATGCCTTTCTCAAGCCCAGCTAGTATCTTTAAGATTGTTGTTTTAAATTCTGGTTCAGGCATATTACATACATGTTTTGATTAAATCACTGGCTGTGACCTCTTCTTGTTCTTCTTTTGGAGTGAATTCCTCCATCTTATTTTTTCTAGGTGTGTGTGTGTGTGTGTGTGTGTGTGTGTGTGTGTGTGTGTGTTAGGAAAGCCTGTTTTATTTCCTTCTCCTGAGAGTAACGGCTATGTTAAGAAGAGGTCCTATACTGTCCAGGGCCTGATGCTTCAGGAAGTGTTTCACAGTGTGTACTCTGCTTTTGTGTTTTGGCTGCTCTTACCCTCAGTTGATCCTCTGCAGAGTTTCTCCTTGCCTGCAGTGGGGTGTTTGGACTTTGTCCAGTGTGTGGCATTTTAACTAGTTATGCTTTGGTCTCATTGTTAAAATAAGTCTGATCCTATATGCACTAGAGCTGAAGCTTTTCAGCACTCTATGAACAGTAGACTTGGTGTGTGCAAGGGTTTGTGCTGGTCGTCTAGGGTAGGAGCCTGCTGCACTGGTTCTCAGGCACACTTGCCCTAGTCCAGAAGCATCTGCAGAGCACAGGGTGCAGGGCATGGTATAAATGGCTCCAGCCTCCACTGGGGTGCTGTGTTGCTCATGGAAGTCTGTCAGCAGTGCTGATGGGAGAGGGGGAAAATATTATTTCCCTGGCTTTCTCATCCCTGGAGAGGAGCATTCATGCCTGCTGCTGTTCAGGAAGCCCTCACAGAAGAGTGAAGAATCTCCCCTTTGTGTCCCTGGCTTCTATTAGATCCCTGCCTTCATCCTGTGTCCAAGCCAGTCCTGTGTTATACCTCAGGTGCATGCTAGGTTTCAAAACTCCAAATTTTGGGGACTGGCACATTGTGGACTCACACTGATCATCTGGGGGAGGGTCTTACCATGCTGTGGCTGGTGCTAGTTTGTCCCAGAAAAGCAGTTGCACAATCACACAAGGGCTCAGACTACATGGTAAAGCACTGAAAGAAGACAGCACCAAGGTTTGCTACTCTCATCTGATGTCTCTGCTCCTATGTTAATGAACAGGGCAGCACATTGGTGCCTGCCAGCATTTTTGCCTCCTGAGAGGCTGTGCCACATCTCCCAAATGCATTCCAAGAGGGGAACTGTCTTTTCCAGTGCAATCCAAAGGATCTCAAACCACACTGTCCACTCCGGGGCCTCTGGCTCCTTCCCCACAGGAGTACCACTATTGCTGCCAGGCTTTACCTGGGGGTGGTGCAGACTCCTAAAACTTCAGACTTTGAGCTTCCCTGCTTGTAAAAACTTGTGATAATCAGCCTCTCTACTTTTCCTAGTCAATGGTTTTGGGGGAATGTTTCTCTTGTGCAATTTCCTGTGTGTCACCTTTTCTCTGTTTCTCTCTCTCTTTCTCCTCTCTCCAAGATCAAGGCTCCCTCCCCTCTGCAGCACCCACAGTTCTTTTCTCCCCAGTCATATCTCCACAACTTTTATCTTCCACAGTGTGGCTTCTTTTCTCCCTCTGGTTCTGCAGTTTGTTCTCTCAGCATTCAGATAAATTTCTTGGGTGTTTGGAGTGATTTGGCATTTATATAGCTGTGTTTGAGGGACAAGGAAAGCATAGGACCCCCTACTGCTCCACCATCTTAACTCCTTTTCTGTATGTCCCAGCATTTTCTTTTCTATTTGAACTTTTATTTTGTTAAAAAAAAACTCAGAAAAATTGCAAAAGCATTACATTAAACACACACATACTCTTCACCTCTATTCACCAATTAGAGTTTGCCATATTTTCTGTATAAGTCTTTTAAATTCTTATGTAGGCTACAGACATTATGACAATTTATTCCAAATATTTTAGCATGTATCATGGAAGTATAGGGATATTCTCTTATATAACCATAGTATAATGATCAAATTCATAAAACTTAATATTTCTCTACTACTCGTAACTAATACACTGACCATGTACAATTTTTGCCAATTATGGCAATAGTATCCTTTATGGAATTTTTTTTTCTGATCCAGTATCCAATCCTGAACCTCAGATTGCTTTTAGATGTTGTGTTTTTTAGATTCATTTTCTCTGGAACACTTCTTCCACCTTCCTTCTTTCATGATATTTAGCATTTTTACATGTACATGTCAGTTGTATTATAGAATGTCCTTTAATTTTGGCTCTTGTATTCTTTTCTGAGGTATTTAATTTTTTCCTATTGACCATATTCAGGTTATAAATTTTATTTTTTTCAGGTTATGCATTTTAGATGGTAATATATTAACATTATTATTTCTTCACTGGTGAATCACATCCAGAGACCCATGATAGGTCCTACGGTTGATGATATTAAATTTTGTTCACCTGGCTAAGGAGGCACTTTAAAAAACTCATATGTTGTATTTGAAATCTCCAAAGCCATATGAAATATCCAAATTTTAGAGATTTTTTAAAAGATATCCTTAGGAGTTGTGATGTCCTAAGTACAAAAGAATACAAGCATCCCTCAGTGGTTCCCTTCAGATCCAAAAAGTTCTCCAAGTTTATAGTTTTGCATCTGAAAACACTAAACCCAATTAGTTCTCAAGGAACTTTGAGGAATGCCAGATTGTAGATATGACTGATCATGGAGTGGTGTGAAGGACCTTCAAGACATGGGACTGGGAAGCTGAGCTGGTGCTGAGCAGTGTAGATGGAGAATGTGGCCTTGAATTGAAGCCATGGAAGACAGTAAAGATGTTACTCTGAATACAAAAGATCCTTCAGGTCACATTTCCAACTCATAGCACTGAAAGATCTTGTTTTTCCATGGCACAATTCTCAACAGCTGAAGATATTATTTTGCTTTATTAAAAATTAATCTATGCTATTTTCTAGTGACCACGTTTTATGAAGAAGTAGTGAAAGTGTAGTTTGATGTCTGCCTAATGCACTCTTTAATGACAATGTTTATAGAAGCTTTAAGAATTTGTAATGAAGTAATATTATCAATCAATTAAAGCACAATGTAAATTATAATTACAAAAGTAAAATGATATACCTAAGTAGTGTGCAATATGAATTTTCATCTATTGTTCTAGGACATAAAATATGTTCAATTATTTCTCTAAACCAATGGTTTTCAAAGCCCGATTCGTGGACCAATGCCAGTATCAGGATCACTTGGAAAGGTGTTAGAAATTTAAATTCTGGGGCTCTACCCAAAATCTACTGAATCAGAAACTTAGGAGATAGGCCTCACAGTCTGTGTTTTAACAGGTCTGACAGTTAAATCACAGTCTGTGATTCTGATGCAGGCTCAAATTTGAGAATCCTTCCTCTAGACCACTGGCTCTCAGTCACAGGTGACTTTGCCTTCAAGGCACATTTATCAATATCTGCAGACATTTTTAGTTGTCATAACTGGGACAGAAGTTGCTACTGGAATCTAGTGGATGGATGCCAGGGGTGCTACTAAGTATTCTAAAAATGCACAAGACAGCCCTCACCCCACAACAAAGAATTGTCCAGCCTAAAATGTCCATTGTGCCAAGGTTGAGAAACGCTAACTCTCCAAGAAATTAAACCTCAGTCAGTTTCTGAGGGTTGGAGGGACTTCATTCTCAATCTGTAGCCTAATGCCAGGCTTAGGTGGACCAGAAGGAAACAGGTTCTTAATCCAGGTGATTACCTTCATTCCAGTGTTCTCTTTGCTATTTCTTTTGAACTGTTGGGGCAAGGACCCCTCCCAGCTCACCTGTCACCACTAGGAAGAATATCCCTCCACACTCCCAACTAGACTCTCCCATGAGACAATTATCAGAACTTCACAGAATCCAGGCATCCTGAAATAACGTGCCCAGGGCAAGTGGGGGCAATGGGTAACCATGCCCTCCCCATCACCTTCTGTCTCTCTCAGTTAATATCCACTCCCTAGGTCTTGGCACTCCTACTTCTCTCTCTCCATAAACTCACCCATGCGCTCTCCATTATGAATCACTTTGTTTCAACCTATACAGTGAAACACAAAATTTTTTTATTGTCTGGGGTTTCAGGTGGGTTTAGGAAGGTCTGCTTTTAGAAACAATATTGAGCCAGGGCACCTGTGTGGCTCAGTTGTTTAAGCATCCAACTTTGGCTCAGGTCATGATCTCACAGTTTGTGGGTTCGAGCCCCGGCGTTGGGCTTGGTGCTGACATCTCAGAGCTTGGATCCTGCTTCGGATTCTAGGTCTCTCTCTCTGCCCCTCCCCACTTGTGCTCTGTCTGTCTGTCTCTCTCAAGAACAAACAAACATGAAAAAAATTTTAGAAACAATATTGAACCATTTTCCCTGGTGTGAGTGTGAGGAGGGGACAGACAGGCTAACATTAAGTCTTTGTCTTATTAACCCTCTCTGCTATATCATGTGTATCACATTTAACCTAATTTCTCCTATGTACTTGTATATATTTAGTCTACCTCTAAAGCAGTAATCAGAGGAAAAGATAATCTCTACAGACCTAATGAGCAGAATATGCTTGCTGAGTACTAAGGAAAAGGCCATAGAAAGAAAGAGGAATAAGTTATAATGCCCAGGAAATATTACCCTTTCCTGGAAGATTTGGCAGGGCTCTACCAATCCATATACTAGGAGTTCTAGGAGAAGCTATTTGGGGCACCAGGTAGCTGATGAAGGAGCATCACAGAGATCCCAGAAGTATGGGAGGCTAAATTCTGTGGGGCCCAGTGAAGGAGTACCTGGGCTGCTTCATAGTGATAAATCTAAAGGAATCCCATCTGCAGTTCGAGTGCAGGGACTGGGGTGGTCTTGCTGACCAATCACACTGCTTCCCTGGAGCCCAAACAGTGCCATTCCTTTACTGATGATTACAATTATAACTTATTCTTTGTGTCTTCCCAGGCCTATCTGACATGGTCTTCTGTGCAGGGCTGCTTCACAGGGGCACACAGTGCCACTGGTTCCAGCCACAGGGTATGGTGATATGGTCAAGTTTCTTACAAACTTTCTGCATAGTTTTGTTACTCTTGTCAACGTGAGAATATATGGGGAAGCCAAGTTTGTTTAGATAGTGACTATGGGAATAGATGACTTGGGTGATAAGGCCATGGGCCCGGTACTCAGGCAGGGTACCCGCCATCCGTAACTCTCCTGTCTGGTCCATCAGGTTCCAGGATACAGGCGTCCTCTCAGGCCCCAGCAGGCAGAAGGTGGGGAAGTTCTGGATACAGCGCTCGATGAATCTCTGGCTCCTCTCATTGCCGCCAAAATGCCAGAATTTATTCACCAAGGCAGCGTGGGTAACATCCAGGGAGGAGGGTTTAAACATCTCTTGGCAGCTGTGGAGGAAAAGCAAAGTCTGTGAGTATGGAGGTTTTTATTTGTTCTTCCCTCTACTGTTTTGAGAGGCAGAGTAGGTAGAGGAAATAAGAAACACAAAGCCCTGGAGTGTAGGTGAGTTTGTGATGACAAAGGGATGGAAAAGTCCACTGTTGTTGGAATGAGTGAGCAGGAAGAACAGGATAGGTCGAAGAAGCTGGCGGAAATCAGATATATTCCAGATGAGAAAAGAAATGGTGGAGTACTTTAAGCAAAGGAGGAATATGGTATGAATTACATCTTAAGAAAAGATTACTCTGACTGTTTTGAAGAATATTGACTGCAGATGGGCCAGAGTGAAAGCAGGGTGGGAAAATGGGAGGCTGTCTCAGTACTGAGAGCAGTAAGTGATGCAGAGTGATTTGTATCCAACTCACATGGCCTTGGGTTTGCCACTGTTGGGTGATAAGTTCTTTCCCTCCAGCAGGGAAGGAACTAGTTTCTTTATCGTCTCAGCCATCATATAGAGAATGCAATGTGTTTGCTTGACTTGGAAGGATTTAGTAGCTGCAAGATTTTGTATCACCTCATTCAGGCTGGGCTGTGAACCTAGATGGGATTATGAGGAGAGACAATGATTTAATAAGTATATGCTGTGGAGAAGCTCCCCATTGGAGTAGGAAGTGTCTGGGATTTACAGTCAGAGAACCTAGGTTCTGGGCTCAGTGCTGCTGCTGTGTAACCAGAGTCAAGTAGTCAGGATTTGTGCAATTTTCCCTGGTTTATGTAAGGGAAAACATGCCCAGAAATTCATTAAGCCATTGGTGGCAAAGCGAGACTGGAACCAGGTTTTCTGGGCTACATAATCATGTAGTTTTGATAATTAAAGGAGAGAAGTTTTTTTTAAAAAGTAGTAGCCAATATCCATTGTGTATTTACTATGTTCCCAGTGTAGTAGATTGTTGCAGTAATGGCCTATATTTGCCCACATCTCCTTGTATCCATTCCTTGGGGTAGTCCTCGCCTGCACTGCATCTGACCTTGGCCATATGATTTGCTTTGGCAATGGGGAAGAATGAACTTGATGCAGAGAGAAGCTTAAAAGTGCTTGCACATCGGGGTTTGCCCTCTCCTTGTGATCTCAATTACTTTGAAACCAATACCATACAAATAGGCCTAGGCTAGCCTGCTGAGGTCAGGTGCTCCTATCATTCCATCACCATGGCAGCCAACGCTGACAGCCAGAACCATCATTCAGACATGTGACTGAGGCCATGTTAGAGCAATCAGGCCATAGTCCACCCATCAACTGATGGCAATTGCATGAGTAAGCCCAAGAGACACCAGCAGAACTGCCTTGCAAAGCCTAATACAAACTGTAGATTCACAGAATTATGCAGCAAAAGTCAACTACACATCCAGGTATTATAGTAAGAAATCCCTATTCAAGATTTCATTTAATCTTTTCAATGCCCCTGTGTTCTAGGAACTATTGTTATCCTCATTTATGTATATGAAAGTCATGGTCTCCAAGAGGATAAGTCATGTGGCTAGGATCACATAGCAAGTAACAGGCAGATGCCATCCTAGGGAGTCTGACTCGGGGCAGGGGGCATATCCACACCATGACAGTTGTCCTTTATGATCTGGGAGGTGCTTTATGGCACAAGTCATCATTCTCATTCCAGGAATGGAAGACCTTGGGTGAAGCCCTCCTTTGGTACCCAGTTACCCTAAGGGATCCTGCATATGTCTACAAAATATGCCATAAATCGTTGGCTATCCAGGAATTATATTATGTTCCCCTATATGAAGCCCATTTTTTGCAAGCTTTGAAGGTGTTTTTTTTCTCCCTTTATGAGGGAGTTAAAAAATTGGCAGCAGGCTGAGGGTCTGGAGCTTGGGGGCAGGAGATATGAGTCATAGGGAAAATTGTTCAGGACAGAGAAGTGAGTCCGCACCCATCCCATTTCTCTTACTTTGGATCTGCAAATGCTGTTTCCAGTTGATGACTTCTGGTGAGACAAGACATTTCTGACAGTTCTTGAGGTCCTTGGAGTAGATTTGGTAAGTATTGGTGTAGTGATCAAGATCATCTGTCATCTCCTATGATCATTGGGAAAAGGGAAATAAAACAAATTACTTATATTTCACTATTGCAATACTTTTTCTAAATTCCACTATACTGTGAGTTTTTAACATTGAAATATTGTTGACACACAATGTTACAATAGTTTCAGGTGTACAATATAGGGATTCAACAAGTCTATACTTTATGCTGTGCTCACAATTATAGCTACCATCTGTCACCATATAACACTATTACACCACCACTGACTATATTCCCTATGCTCTACCTTTTATAGCATGAGTTATTCATGCTGTAACAGGAAGCCTGTATCTCCCACTACCCTTCACCCATTTTGCCCATCCCTCTGCCCTCTTCCTTCTGGCAACCACCAGTTTGTTCTGTGTATTTATGGGTCTGTTTCTGATTTTTGTTTGTTCATTTGTTTCTTAGATTCCACATATGAGGGAAATCATACAGTATTTGTCTTTCTCTGTCTGACTTATTTTACTTTGCATAACACCCTCTAGGTCCATCCATGTTGTTATAGATGGCAAGATCTCATTCTTTTTACGCCTGAGTAATACTCCATTGTGTGTGTGTGTGTGTGTGTGTGTGTGTGTGTGTGTGTGTACACACTACATCTTCTTTATCCATTTTTCTATCGGTGGACATTTGGGTTGCTTCCACATCTTGGCTATTGTAAATAATGCTATAAACATAGGGGTGCATATATTTTTTCAAATTTGTGTTTTTGTTTTCTTTGGGTAAATACCCGGTAGTAGAACTATTGGGTCGTATGGTATTTCTAGTTTTAATTTTTTTTCTATTTTTTTTTTCTTTTAGAGAGAGAGCACAAGCAGGGGAAAGGGGCAGAGGGAGAGAGAGAATCCTGAGCAGGCTCCATGCTGAGCATGGAGCCCCATGTGGGACTCGATCCCACGACCCTGGGATCTTGACCTCAACTGAAATCAAGAGTCAAACCCTCATCTGACTGAACCACCCACATGCCCCTCTATTTTTAATTTTTTTTGAAAAACATCCTTACTGTTTTCCACAGTGACTATACCAATTTACATTTCCACCAACAGTGCACAAGGGTTCCTTTTTCTCCACATCCTCACCGACACTTGTTTTTTGTCTTTTTGACTATAGCCATTCTGACAGCTGTAAGGTGATACCTCATTATGGTTTTGATTTGTATTTCCCTGGTGATTAGTAATGTTGAGGATCCTTCATGTTTCTGGGCTATGTGTATGTCTTTTTTGGGAAAATATCTAATTCATGTTGTCCTATTTTTTTCTTTTCTTTTTTAAATTGTATTTAATTTATTTTTTAAATTTACATCCAAGTTAGTTAGTTTATAGTGCAACAATGATTTCAGGAGTAGATTCCTTAATGCCCTTTACCCATTTAGCCTATCACTACTCCTACATCCCCTCCAGTAACCCTCTGTTTGTTCTCCATATTTAAGAGTCTCATATTTTTGTCTCCCTCGCTGTTTTTATATTATTTTTGCTTCCCTTCCCTTATGTGCATCTGTTCTGTGTCTTAAAGTCCTCATATGAGTGAAGTCATATGATATTTGTCTTTCTCTGACTAATTTCACATAGTATAATACCCTCTAGTTCCATGCATGTAGTTGCAAATGGCAAGATTTCATTCTTTTTGATTGCTGAGTAATACTCCAGTGTGTGTGTGTGTGTGTGTGTGTGTGTATAAACATAAATAAATATAAATATATATATATATATACATCATATATATGTGTGTGTATATATATATGAGTATATATATACCCCACATCTTCTTAATCCATTCATCCATTGATGGACATTTGGGGTCTTTCTATACTTCGGCTATTGTTGATGGTGCTGCTATAAACATTGGGGTGCATGTGCCCCTTTGATATAGCACACCTGTATCCTTTGGGTAAATATCTAGTAGTGCAATTGCTGGGTCATAGGGTAGTTAGAATTTTAATTTTTTGAGGCACCTCCATACTGTTTTCCAGAGTGGCTGCATCAGCTTGCATTACCACCAATAATGCAAAAGAGATCCTCTTTCTCTGTATCCTCACCAACATCTGTTGTTGCCTGACTTGTTAATGTTAGCCATTCTGAAGGTGTGAGGTGGTATCTCATTGTGGTTTTGATTTGTATTTCCCTGATGATGAGTGATGTGGAACATTTTTTATGTGTCAGTTGGCCATCTGGATGTCTTCTTTGAAGAAGTGTCTATTCATGTCTTTTGCCCATTTCTTCACTGGATTATTTGTTTTTGGGATGTTGAGTTTGATTAAGTTCTTTATAGATTTTGGATACTAACCCTTTATCTGATATGTCATTTGCAAATATCTCCTCCCATTCCATTGGTTGCCTTTTAGTTTTGCTGAAGTTCCCTTCACTGTGCAGACTTTTTATTTTTATGTGGTCTCAATAGTTCATTTTTGCTTTTGTTTCCCTTGCCTCTGGAGATGTATTGAGTAAGAAGTTGCTGTGGCCAAGGTCAAAGAGGTTTTTGCCTGCTTTCTCCTCTAGGATTTTGATGGCTTCCTGTCTTACATTTTGGTCTTTCATCCATTTTGAGTTTATTTTTGTGTATGGTGTAAGAAAGTGGTCCAGGTTCATTCTTCTGCATGTCACTGTCCAGTTTTCCCAGCACCACTTGCTGAAGAGACTGTCCTTATTCCATTGGATATTCTTTCCTGCTTTGTCAAAGATTAGTTGGCCATACATTTGTGGGTCCATTTCTGGGTTTTTTATTCTGTTCCATTGATCTGAGTGTCTGTTTTTGTGCCATTGCCATACTATCTTGAAAATTACAGCTTGGTATTACAGCTTGAAATCCGGGATTGTGATGCCTCCTGCTATGGTTTTCTTTTTCAAGATTGCTTTTGTGGTTCCATACAAATTTTAGGATTGTTTGTTCTAGCTCTGTGAAGAATGCTGGTGTTATTTGATAGTTATAGAATTGAATATGTAGATTGCTTTGGGTAGTATCAACATTTTAACAATATTTGTTCTTCCTATCCAGGAGCATGGAATGTTTTTCCATTTTTTGTGTGTCTTCTTCAATTTCTTTCATAAACTTTCTATAGTTTTTGGTGTATAGATTTTTCACCTCTTTAGTTAGAGTTTCCTAGGTATTTTATGGTTTTTGGTGCAATTGTAAATGGGATTGATTCCTTGATTTCTCTTTCTGTTGCTTCATTGTTGGTGTATAGGAATGCAACCGGTTTCTGTGCATTGATTTTATATCCTGCCACTTTGCTGATGAATTCATGGGTCAGTTATAGCAGTTTATTGGTAGAATCTTTTGGGTTTTCCATATAGAATATTATGTTATTTGCGAAGAGTGAAAGTTTGACCTCCTCCTGGCCGATTTGGATGCCATTTATTTCTTTGTGTTGTCTGATTGCTGAGGCTAAGACTTCCAATAGTATGTTGAATAACAGTGGCAAGAGTGGACATCCCTGTCTTATTCCTGACCTTAGGGGGAAAGCTTTCAGTTTTTCCCCATTGAGGATGGTATTAGCATTGGGTCTTTCATGTATTTATGCCTATTTTTAAATTGGATTCTTTAGGTTTTGGTGTTTAGTTAAAAGTTCTTTATGTATTTTGGATATTAACTCCTTATGGTAAAAAACTGAGAACTTTTCCTGTAAGGTCAGGAAGAAGACAAGGATTTACACTCTTGCCACTTTTATTCAACAAAATACTGGAAGTTTTAACCATAGCAATCCAGCAAGAAAAAAAAGAAAAGGCATCCAAATTGGTAAAGAAGAAGTTAAACTGTCACTATTTACAGGTGATATAATCCTATACAAAGAAAACCCTAAGACTTCACCCACAAACTATTAAAAGTAATAAATGAATTCATTAAAGTTCCAGGATACAGAATTCACAGAAATTGGTTGTGTTTCTATACACTAACAATTAGGTAATAGAGAAATTAAGAAAACAATTCCATTTACAATTGCATCAGAAAGAAAGAAAATACCTAGGAATAAACTTAGGAAGTGAAAGACCTGTACTGTGAAAATTATGAAATATTGATGAAAGAAATTGAAGATGACACAAAGGAAAAGATATTCCACATTCATGGGGCAGAGAAATTAATATTGTCAGAATGTCCATACTACCCAAAGCAGTGTATAGACTCAGTGCAATCCAAATCAAAATACCAATAGCATTTTTCACAGAACTGGAACAAATAACACTAAAATTTGTATAGAACCACAAAGACCCTGAAAAGCAAAAGCAGTCTTGAGAAAGAAAAGAAGTAAACTTATGCTTATGCAGTCCATTGTTCTATGACAAAGCAGGAAAGTGTATCCAATGGGAAAAGGATGGTCTCTTTAATAAGTGGTGTTGGGAAAACTGGACAGCTACATGGAAAAGAATGAAACTGGACCACTTTCTTATACCATACACAAAAATCCATTCAAAATGTATTTAGGACCAAAATGTGAGATATACTGTGATTTTTTTAAGTGCTAAAATGTTGGTATTTTCATTGGTGCATTACAATTATTCCTGAATCATTTAAATCATGAGGTCAGGAGGAGAGATTCAAGTATTCAATTTATGATGGAAAATTACATAACAATACTGCTATCTACCCACATATTGCATTAAAATTTCAAATCAAACAAAGACACAATTATTAGGAAGCATTCTTCTATACTTCTATTATTCTCAGTAGGAAGAAGAGAAAAACATTTGACAAGGAAAAGCAAAACTTCTGTTGCAAGAATGCATGTAGTAAACAGTTCAGATAGTTGCAGAACATGCCAACCATGAACATCACAGTATTAAATTTAGTTATAGATATTTCTGGATTAAAATCTCCATCTATACTTAATGAAGCCAAAGAAGATGAAAACCAATTAGAAATGCTTCCTTAAAACAATGCTATAGTTAAACAAACGGTAGTTCCAGAAAAATAAAGAGAGTACTTATTTAAGAAGACCCTCTCAACTTACTAAACAGATGAGATTATTGGGAAGTGGGAGGCACAAGAAAATATTACCACAACTCAGTGCAGAATTCAAAAGCTTTTTAAAAAATGGTTGGAAAATGTTGCCCAAAAATACACTGACAAGTCAGCAAGGATATCCACTAATACATTTTATTACTTAAGATCACATTTAAGATAAAAGATCAAATAATTTTATTTCAGGTCAGTTGTTACTACTAATACAGATTTCTTTATATATTGTTTAACTTAGTGGTTTTCAAATCAATTTTTATTTCTATGAAAGGTATAATATGTGTATTTTTATAAATTTATAATTTTACTGAATGTTTAAAAATAAGCTTGTGAATTTTTGTCTTTGAAATGTGTTTACTATTTAGTTTTGCTAGTTTTTAAATGTTTCCTCAAAATGCATATGGCGATTATAGTATTATAAGTTTGCTTTTTATAATTGCCCTAACTCACTGTACTGTCTCACACCTTCCTATCTTTACCCCTTGTGTTTTCTCTGTTGGAATGTCCTCTTTTTTTTTTTTTGTCAGCCTAACAGTATCTACAAAATATGTACAAGATCCAGTGCAGGTGAAACCTCCCATCGGGAAGTGTCTCAGACCTTAACCTTCATCTCCAGCCTCCGTTGTTGAATCAGCTTTCGCTATTTCTGTGTTGTACATCTTCTCTTCCCACACACTTCACTCTATATTGGAATTTATTTGCTTATTGATCTTTTCTTCCAAGGCTCTGAGCTCTTTGAAGAGAGGGACTTACTTTCCGTCACACAATTCATTTCTGTATCCCTGGGCTGCCATATTGTCAGGCACATGGCAGGTACACTGCAAAATGAACAGAGGCATATTCATTCCACGTCTGGCACCTTACCTGCTCCTGAGGGCGGATAACCACTGTGTTAAAATCAGGCCACTTGTCCACTAGAGCCTTCAGCTTGAATGGGTTTCCCTGGTTCATGTGGAAGACAGTCCCATAAACCTGCAGCATCCCAAGAAAGGGAGAGGGTCAGCTTGTTAGGAAGGACTGGTAAAGTACCTTGTTTGGTCAGGACAAGGATCATTTCTATCATGAAATTTTATGTTGGAAAAGGGCCAAGTAGGGCATCTAGGTCAAACAGTCTCCATGTACTACATTTTTTTTAAACCTCAAACGAGAAGAGCTTTTTCTCCCCACCCGTTATGAATCATACATGCATATAGTAAAATGTTTGGCCAGATAAAATTTGATTTTAAGAATACCATTCTTCATTTTAGGATTTAAAATTTTCTCCTTCAAGATTTTCTTCTACTCATACACATAGACACAATTTTACAAAAATTAAATGATCTGATACATGTTCCCTCCCCCAGAATGCATTGTGAGCATATTTTTATGTTCATAAACACAAATATTTTCAATTGTTTTATGATGGCTGCATAGGATTCCATCGTATGGATATATCACAGTTCATTTATTTGCTTATTGATAGTCATTTCAGCTGTTTCCAGCTTTTCACTTTGACAAATAATTCTTCATAGAGCATGCTTGACAGAAAATTTGCATGGGCTCCTGATATTTTCTTAGAATATTCAGAAGAGTAGTTGCTGGCTCAAATGTTATGCACATGTTTAAAACTTCTTAACATAAATGACCACGTTATTCTCTGGAAGGATTAAATGAACTTCCACCAACAAACAGGCTACAGCGTAGTGCTCAACAGAATGTGCTGTGTGGTCCCATGGCCTGGGGTCCAAGTCCAGTCTTGGATCCCCCTACCCCCATTTGTGTTGTGCAGGCTGTTGAGAGACAGGAAGATGGGGAGAGAATGAATGAGAACAAGTCTTGTGGACATTGTGTTTTTGTGGTTTGGGGGATTGGAATGCAGCAGCAGATACTAGCATGGGCAACTGTGAACATGAAGCCTCTGCAGATACCAGCATGGAAGCATGCCAATGACCTGAGGTCAAAAAGATGGTATATGCTTTAATATTTCCACCTTGGATACATGATGACTAAGAACTATGCCTGTATCTTTCCCCCTGCCACTCTCCACCCCACATAAACTATTGATGTTAGACAGAAGGGGGAAAAAAGCTCAGTTGACTGAATTTATCTGAATTTATTTTGTTTTCAGCCATGAGTGGAGGCTTGATATAGAATTCAGCATAATTTGGGAAAATACAGACATTATCTTTTTACATATTTGCATTTGGGCCCTGTAAAACTGATTTACACTATACTATTATCCATTATAGGATCTGAAAATACGTAGAACTGTTACTCTTTGTTATTCCCATCGCCTAATTAATTAAAAAATTTCTTTTTTCCTGCTCAGTTCAGAACATACCAGCCAGCTACTCTAAGTTGACTCAACTGGAGTTGATACACGCACTAAAATGTATTTAATATCTAGCACTAAGAGGAATGGCTGGGCTTTTTCTCAACTGAGACTCAAATAAGTATTGAATTTTAGGTTATACATCCATTACAAGTACTACACATATTCTGGATTTTAATTAGGGGGCAATGTATGTCTTTAATATGCAACCAAAAATTGAAGGTGCTATTAGGGCCACCTTATCTTACCATGGAGATCTTCCAAGAAAGGACACTTGGAATGCACCATTTTCTCAAAATATTTGGGCTCAACTTAACATAAGCAGTAAAGAGAAATTTAAGTGACAAAATTCTACACTAAATTCATGGGAAAAAAAAAACTTTGGCCTGAAGAATTGTTAAAAATAACTATTCACCATAAAAATATCTTAGGCAACTGTTTATAGAGTTTCTAACTGATGTAACCTCCCTCCCAACCCCGCAGAATTGATTGTAAGGTTGCCTGGATCTTAAGGATTATTAAGTGAAAGGAGTTAAATAGTGGGTGGTAGAGATTAATGGTAGTAGGAATCTACTAATGTGGTTAACTTTAGTTTTAGATCACAGTTGACCCTTGAACAACATGGGGGTTGGGGGGCACTGATCCCCCACTTGCAGTGGAAAATCTGTCTAGAATTTTTGATTACCCCCAAACTTAACTACGAATCACCTACAATTGACCAGAAGCCTTACCAATGATTTAAACAGCTGATTAAGATGTACAGTATGTTATATACTCTATTCTTACAATAAAGTAAGCTAGAGATAAGAAGATGTTATTAATCATATTACAAAGAAGAGAAAATCCATTTACAGTTCTCTGCTATATTTGTTGAAAAAAATCCAAGTGAATATAAGTGAACTCGCATATTTAAGGGTTAGCTGTGGTAGAAGTCATTTTTTTTAGTAGGAACTAAAGAACAGTTATTTCATTAGTCTGTTTCTAATAATTGAAAATTAAGCCTTAAAAAATAAATAAATAAAAGAAAATTAAGCCTTGTGATCTACAAATAAAATAATGGTAATATTTTTCTCCTTATACTGAAAGAAGGGAGTAGCAGAGCTATAAGGGAGTAAAGGAGGCAAATGCATTTATCTTATCTAAATTGTATGCATCTTATAGGAATGTCTTATAAAATAGTAAAAATCTAATTTCTATGTCTACAGAGGTTTTTTTAGGGAAAAGTAACTGTCCTCTAACACACACACACACACACACTCACACTCACACACACACACGGACCCTATGCCTTTGGTTGCTAAAAAAAAAAAACCACAAGCAAGTACCATAGCCTATCACTAGAGTTGCTCTTGCACAGTTCTGGATGTAAGTATTTACGTGTACATCTTAGTTAATTCTGAGATTTCTAATCAGTTGTACTAGGTTAAAGGAGACACCTAGTTGTACTAGGTTAAAGGAGACACCATAAAATAGACTGATATGCAGTCAGCTCAGGGAAATTGGGAAATTTAAGTCAAAATTGGAATTGACTCCTTATTAATTTTAGAGAAGACTCCTGATGGTTAACCTCTCACCTAGCAAGTGTTCTTTTAAGAAGAACAATTTTAACACTAATATGTCGTCTCAGCCAACTTTTGAGGAAAACCCTCAGCCAACTTTTGAGGAAAACACCAATGTTATTATGGGATGTTTTTTGGAAAGGAGAAAGGGAACACTTTATGAATGACAGAGCAAAAGCTGGTGAAGTCCCAGGCATACCTGTGTTCATGCCATGGCATTGCAACTCACTATTTGTGTGATATTGGCTAAATCACCCTAACTGAGATCCATCTTCTCATCAGTAACACAGACATAGTAGCAAATATCTTCTAGAGAGGTAATGCAAACTAAGCTAGAGAAAACATGGACTAATGCTGGACACAGGACAGAGGCTCAATGTTAGTCTCTTTTCTTCTTGACTCATGGGGTTTCTATTCCTTACTCTCCACCCAGAATTTTCCATTGTCACCTTTAAGGATTCAGGAAGGCTCTTCCTCAAGGACCTCTCCAGTGACTGCAGCATTTGGGCACCTTGCAGTGGGAACATCATGGAAGGTACCTTAGCCTAAAGAGAGAAACAGGAAACAGCTAGGAATGAGAAGAAGCTGGAAGAGATTCAGAAATATGAGTAGGAAGTTCTCTTCTAATGGCGAGGTCCCCCTTCAGTGTCTCTTCATCTGTGTCACCTTCAGTAAAGTCTTCACTAGCTCTCACCAACTCTAAGGAAGGACAAGACTGGTAGAACGCATGGGGGGGTGGGAGGATTTATACATTTTTAAATTCACTTCCTTACATTTCAATGCATTCCAGCCATCTGTTTCATTTTAGGTTAACAAGCGCATTTTTAAGTACATATAACATCTTTTGAAATTTAGTTGCCATTAGTGATTCTCGTGACACCACCAGTAATAAGCCGTATAACATTGTGGAAGTTATTTACTCTTTCTGTGCCTTGCTTGCCTCTGTTAACCTCAAAAATAAAACTATCTTACCATCAAAAATGGTTTATTTGGAAATAGCAGGGAACTGCAATACCAGATAATGAAGCTATAGAAAATTATAAGCAAGTCTGGAGAACAAAAAAGAGGAACATTCTTTTATAAAAAGGAGAGGAAGAGGACTGTTATAAACAAAAAGTCCATTGGTAGAAAGGTGGAGTTCCCAGTATCAGGGCTTTTTCTTGGCTGAGTGGTGACTCTCTCATTGGCTGGGCTGTTGCTGAAGGGAGGAGGAAACCTGTCTGCTCAGTAGGAAAGTAGTAGCTAGAGTAAAATGGAATTTGGAAGCAATGAATCATAGGAATCTACCCCCCCCCCAACCAAGAGCACACTGTGTACACTGTATGTTAGCTAACTTGACAATAAATTATATTAAAAAAATAATTATAAATAAAATGGAATTTGGAAGGTGCTCTATTCCTGTTGGGTCTGTGGTGAATGCAAGCAGGAGTTGTATGGCAAGAGCTCCCCGCTGCTGGCTTCCTGACTCCATTCCAGAGGATTCCTTTTATTGATTTTCACACTTCGAAGGTGGATGGGATAACAGCACCATCTAACTTACAGACTTTTTTTTAGGGTTAACTGAGTTATTACATTAAAGGAGTCAATAAGTGCTTGGAATAGTATCTGTCAGGGGCTCCTGGCTGGCTGTCAGTACAGCATGTGACTCTTGATCTTGGGATCATGAGTTCAAGCTCCATGTTGGGCATGGAGCCCACTAAAAAGAAAAAGAGTATCTCTTGTATAAAAGCACTGAACATGTTATTTTATTACTCCTCCTCCCTCTCCTCTTCCTTCCTGTCCTTTTTCATCCCCTCCTTTTCTTCCTCCTCCTCCTTGCCACCTGAGTTAAAGTGCTGTTTACTGCAGTACATTTTGCCGCAATCTTTTTAATGTGGGCATTTGGACATGGTCAAAATATAAACAACCTTTTAAAAAATTTCCAAGCTATATTCCAAGCTGGTATTTTCACCCTATTTTTTTTTTAGTCTTACTGTATCTCACTCTTGCATGTGTCTTGCATATTGTACGGATTACGAGGTGGAATAAAAATAGCATTTTTACATATTTGATTCACTGCGTGAAATTGGGATTTACCAAAACATTCTATAAAACCCCAACTACATGAAAAAGCAGAAAGGGCTGTGTCACAGGGTTCTATTTTGGAACCAGGATCCCTGGAGGAATACATCACTTCTAAGTGAAGGAACCAAAGAAGTGTTCAGAGAGGATGTTGCATTAAAACTGGCTGTGTGTGAGATTCCATGCTCCAGGTCGGAACTGGGTAGCTGATTTTACAACAGCACGGAGGAGGCTTCTACTTCTGGCCAAGAGAGCATAACAGGATCTGGATTTACCTCCTCACCTGAAAAAAAAAAAAAAGACAAAACTAAACAGTAAATGAAACAGCATTGCACAGAGCAGAGCCACTATCCCCAAGAAAAGGAAAAAAGAAAAGGTGAGTTTAATGATTGCATAGCTTATTGTTGGAAGACTGCAGCTCAGGGAAATGGAGCCTGACCAGATCACTGGGGTCTCAATGACTTGAGCATATAGAAGTAGAGGCCAGTGTGGAACTTGAGAAAGAGACAAAGCAGAGAGGGAGAAAGAGAGAGAGGGAGAACGAGAAGGAGAGAGAATGCATGAGAGAGGGAAAATGAGGGAGAGAGAGGGAGAATGAGAGAGAGTTCTAGAGATCTTTGGGAAAGAGCAGTCTCCTAGAGTCTTTGGCTCATCACTGAACTGTATAAGGGGAAACTACCTTGGGCTTTGGCCTAGGGAGAAAACCACTGGAAAAGATCAGGTGGAAAAATTCTTATAGCTGACACAAGTCTGGGAATAGTTTATGTTCTGACACACTGAAGTGAAAAGACCTTGTAGCATAAGGGCATTGAGTAAGAAGCTCAACAAGGGGGTTAAATTCAGACTTGTCTGTTCTAAATTCACCCTGCACTGATTACAAGAAAGTCTTGAAATGATCCATCTGATTCCAATAACTTAATTGTGCACCAGAACAAAACGTACTTAAAAATGCAAGTACAACAAAATCTATCAACTAACAGTATATAATTCATATTGTCTCACCTCCAATAAAAACTGATACGATGGAAAGAAGCAGTAAAATATGATTCAGAAGCAGAAGACAAACACAAATCAGTAAAGACAGGCCCAGAGGAGACACTGTCAGACCTACAATCAAAATGTTTTTTTTCTGTTGCAACAGTGCTTCTCCATGATGCAATAGTCCTTCTCTCACCTTCTTGCAACATTTTCAAATAAGGTTTCTCTTTACCTGAATAAATAAAAATGAGTAGATGCAGATATATTGCAACAAGCAGGCAAAGCCATTAAAAAGCTATAATAATGCTGCTCTTCATGTTTAAGAAGATAGAGGGACACATCATGATAAGAGAAATGGAAGCTACAAAAGATGCATATTGAACTTATAGAAATGAATATATACAGCATTTAAAATAAAAAATACAGTGGATGTGATTAGCACTAGATTAGACATTCCAAAAGAAAATATCAGTGAGGTTGAAGATGCAGCAATTGAAACTATCAACAATGATGCATGGAGCAAAAAACAAGAAGGATCAGAAGACTTATTATTGCTAGTATGTCACCATTTATCCCCCAAATTGATCTACAATTTCAAATTAGCCATAAAACATTTCAAGTTTTATTTGTAGAAATCACAGATTCTAAAATTTACATGATATCAAGGCTTACTAAAGAGCTACGGTAATCATCATGGAGTGGTCTTGGAATAAAGATAGACAAACCAATGAAACAGAATAGAGAAATTGATAGACATTTGTGGTCAATTGATTTGCTACAAAAATATCCAGACAAATGGGAGATAGGATATTCTTTTCAATAAATGGGGCTGATTATTTTTAAACAGTCAAGATTACTTCTTGATAGACTCAGTAGTTGTAAATTTCTAAATGTAGACGTTAGAAGAAAGTCACTCTTGTCTATACTTACTTGTCCCTCTGCTACTTTCTGCTCCCCAGGTCATTTATCTAAAAATAGATCCCCATTCCATTTAGGGTGTTTTATGAATTTGAGAAAGAAAAAAAGCAGCACCCAAAACATTACATTTTCACAGAACAGCAGAACCTGGCAAGGTCATTCAATGGCCTTGATGGAAGGGGACAAAAACGAGATCATTCCACAATCATGTTTGAGCATGGACAAAACAAGAAGGCAGTCTTATCTGCAAAAACAGCCAAATACTCTCCCCAGGTAACAAGTGGCTGCCACTTCTTTACCCCTAATCTTTCTTCCTGCTTCATGGACAAAAGTCTTCCATACAATTGCAGTGTTTTCTGACAATATTCAAGGCAGAGCAAATCCATGCTTCCTTGAATCCTTCCCCAAATCGTGTGTCAAGTCCCTCCTGACACTGTTACTGAGGTGTACCACATTTCCTTCCTTATGGTGTGCTCTCCCTTTTGTTGTAACAGATAATAAATCCCAACTTTGCTGGGTTACAGGTGTGTTCTACATGGCCTTTGACTAGAAGTTATTGATAATGTTTATAGCAGCATTATCAACAATAGCCAAACTATGGAGAGGGCGCATATGTGTATTGACTGCTGAACGAATAAAGATGTGGTACACACACACACACACACACACACACACACACACACAGATACACAGAAACACACACACTGGAATATTACACAGCCATCAAGAAGAATGAAATCTTGTTATTTGTAATGATGTAGATGGAGCTACAGTGTATTATGCTAAGCAAAATAGGTCAGAGAAAGACAATACCATATGATTTCACTCATATGTAGAATTTAAGAAACAAAACAGATGAACATATGGGAAGGGAGGGGAAGAAGAGAGGGAAAGAAACCACAAGAGACTTTTAACAATAGAGAACAAACTGAGGGTTGATGGAGGGAGGTTGGTGGGATGGGTTAGATGAGTGAGGGGTATTAAGGAGGGCACTTGTCATGATGAACACTGGGTGTTGAGTATGTAAGTGATGAATCATTGAATTCTACCCCTGAAACCAATATTGCACTGTATGTTAACTAAAATTTAAATTAAAAAAAAAGTTATTGACACTTATTTAAATATTTAGCTCTGAGGCATTTGTTCCTACTGGATTGTTCACTGTTTGCTTTGACTTCCTAGGACTCAGAGACTTCTCCTTTTCAGCTTAGCTCCTCAGGACTACTAGTTTTTCAGGGTGGTCATGAAAGATTTGGTTTTGCAAAAGTGGAACCAATATTAGTTTGTTTCTATGGAAAAACATATCTAGGTTACAAAGATTTCACTATGTTTTGGTTGCTTTAACATGTTGGGTAATGTGTAGATCATCAAATGTTCCTGATTTTTCTATGTGTGTGTCCTCTGTCTCCTTCCAAGTCCCTGTCAATCATTTGAAGAAAAAAAAATGATGAAATGGCATTATGTGATAAATGTGAAATAGCATTATGCTGCAAAAAAAAAACCTATGTACATAACCTTAATTTTAAAATGCTAACCGTTATCTCAGCTTTCAGTGAGTCATAATCTTTTTTTTGCCTTGACATTGATGGCTGTTGACTGATCAGAGTGGCGGTTGCTGAAGGTTGAGTGACTGTGGCAATTTCTTAAAAAAAGACAACCGTGAATTTTACCACATCGATTGACCTCTTGTTTTGTGAATGATTTCTGTAGCATGTGATGCTGTTTGATGGCATTTACCCACAGTAGAGCTTCTTTATTTATTTTTTTAAGTTTGTTTATTTATTTTGAGGGAGAGAGACCGAGAAAGAGAGTGTGCATGCATGCATGTGAGCAGATGAGGGACAGAGAGAGAGAGGGAGAAAGAGAATCCTGAGCAGGCTCTGCACTGTCAGCGAGGAGCTTGATGTGGGGCTCAATCTCCTGAACCATGAGATCATGACCTGAGCTGAAATCAAGAATCGGATGCTTAACCCACTGAGCCACTCACATGTCCCTGAACTTCTTTCAGAATTGGAGTCAATCCCTCAAACCCTGCCTCTGTTTCAGCAATTAAGTTTATGTAATAGTGTAGACTCTTTGTTGTCATTTCAACAGTCTTCACAACATCTTCATCAATAGTAGATTCCAGCTCAAGAAACCACTGTCTTTGTTCATCCATAGAAGCAGTTCTTTATCCATTGAAGTTTTATTATGAGACTGCAGCAGTTCAGTCCCATCTTCAGGCTCTAGTTCTGATTCTAGTTCTCTTGCTCTTTCCACTACATCTGCAGCTACTTCCTCCACTGAAGTCTTGAACCTCTCTCAAAGTCATCCATGAGGATTGGAAGCAACTTCTTCTGAATTCCTATTAATGTTGGTATTTTGACTGCTTCCCATGAATCACGAATATTCTTAGTGGCGTCCAGAATGGTGAATTTTTTCCAGAAGGTTTTCAATTTACTTTGCTAGGATCCATCAGAGGAATCATTTAGCCTTATGTGGAAGCTATAGCCTTATGAAATTTATATCTTAAATAACAAGAATGAGACTTGAAAGTCAAAATTAGTCCCTGACTTATGGGCTTCAGAATGGATGTTGTGTTAGCAGGCATGAAAATAACTTTAATCTCATTGCACATGTCCATCAGAGCTCTTGGGGGAGTGGGTGCATTGTCTGTGAGAAGTCATATTTTGAAAAGAATCTTCCTTTCTGAGCAGTAGGTCTGAACAGTGACTTAAAATATTCAGCAAACTGTGCACAGATGTGCTGTAATCCAGGCTGTTTTGTGCCATTTCTAGAGCACAGGCAGAATAAGTTTACCATAATTCTTAAGGGCCCTAGGATTTTCAGAATGTAAATGAGCATGGGTTTTAATTTAAAGTCACAAGTTGTGCGGCAACTGGGTGGCTCAGTCAGTTAAGCATCTGACTTTGGCTCAGGTCATGATCTTGTGGTCTGTGAGTTTGAGCCCTGCGTTGGGCTCTGTGCTGACAGCTTGGAGCCTGGAGCCTGTTTCAGATTCTGTGTCTCCCCCTCTCTGACCCTCCCGCGTTCATGCTCTGTCTCTCTCTGTCTCAAAAATAAATAAACGTTAAAAAAAATTAAAGTCACCAGTTGTATTAGCCCCTAACAAGACAGACGACCCATCCTTTGAAACTTTGAAGCCAGGCATTGACTTCTTCTCTGTAGCTAGGAAAGTCCCAGGAGGGCATCTTATGCCAACAGAAGGCTATTTCATCTACATTGAAAATCTGATGTTTAGGGTAGCTGCCTTCATTAATATCTTGGCTAGATCTTGTGGATAACTTGCTGCAGCTTCTGTATCACCACTTGCTGCTTCCCATTACACTTTGATGTTGTGAAGACATCTTTCCTTAAACCTCATGAACCAACCTCTGCTAGCTTCAGACTTTTCTTCTGCAGCTTTAACTCTCTCAGCCTTCATAGAATTGAAGAGACCCAGGGCCTTGCTCTGCATTAGGCTTTGACATAAGGAAATATTTTGGCTGATTTGATTGTCTACCCAGATAACTAAAACTTTCTTCATATCAGCAATAAGGGTGTTTTGCTTTCTTATTATTCATGTGTTCACTGAGTAGCATTTTTTATTTCCTTCAAGAACTTTTCCTTTGCATTTACGACTTGGCTAACTCTTTGGTGGAAGAGGCTTCGCTTTTGGCCTGTCTTGGCTTTCGGTAAGCCTTCTTCACTAAGCTTAATCTTTTCTAGCTTTTGATTCACAGTGAAAGACATGTGACTCTTCCTTTATCTTTGACCCTTAGAGGCCATTGTTGGGTGATTTCTTGTCCTAATTTCAATATTGTTTGTCTCAGGAAATAGGGAGGCCCAAGGAGGAGGAGAGAGACAATTTAAGGGCCATCAGAACACACACAGCATTTATTGATGAAGTTTGTCATCTTATAGGCACACAGTTGGTGGCACCTCCCAAACAATTAGAAATGTAACACCAAAGATCACTGATCACAGAGCAATGCAACAAATATAATAATAATGGAAAAGTTTGAAATATTGGTGAGAATTAGCAAACTGTGACCTAGAGACACAAAAGAAGCAAATGCTATTGGAAAATGGTGCCAATAGACTTGCTTGATGCAGGGTCACCACAAATCTCCAGTTTGAAAAAACACACTATCTGCAAAGCACAACAAGGTGAAGCTTGATCAGACAAGGTTCACTTGTATTCATCTACTTATTTCTTTTCTAACTTTAAGTACGGCAACCCTCTTAGGAATCACAGGCAGGGAACAAAACTGCCTACCTGGTAATACAACCAGAAGGATTAAATATGGTAATATGTGCAGTGTCTCCACACATTAAAGACTCCATTCACCCCCACCCCGCCGCTTCCAGAAAGCATCCAAATCTCTCCTCATTCATTTATTAGTTCAAATCAGAGACCTGTAAGAACTTTTCATAGTACCTAGCAAGTTAGCCTTCACAGAGTAAGTGCTAGATATAGGTTTCTTAAGTTAAAGTTATTTCTTTCCCTTAAGTATGTTTGCCATCATATTCTGATGTAACACAGTATGGGCATTTTGATTTGTCTCATGTAAGTGGAGATGATGTCACAAAGCAATGACTATCTTTTTTTTTTTTTTTTTTGGTATGAGCCCCCACCTGGAAAGCTGTCTCCACACCAGTCTTTGCAGGTGTCCCCAGGAACAAATGAAGAGCAGACTTCCAGGCTATGAAATTTCCCTCTGATGGTGTCAGTTCGGCAAGATCTCTCAGACTGAGTTTAGGTCTGTCTCCTCCAGAGATTGCTGAGCTGAGGCTCAAAATGTGGACCTTGTACATAAGCAAACAATTCTAGGTGTCAGCTCTTGTGAAATCCAATCTTCCTCTCTGGGACTCATGTTGTGGGAGCTCTTTATGCAAATTCAGGGGCTGGGAGTGTGTCACCTGAGCTTCTCTTTGCAAAACACCAGGTTGCTCTTTGCTCCCACCAGCCTGGCCATGACTCTGGAATCCAAAGCTGTGTGAACCCAACAGGCCAGGTGTCAGAAGGGGGGTCATGTTGCATAAACCATACTGTCTACCTCCCCTTCCCATTCTTAACAAAATGCAATCAGAGCAAGGCAATAGGAAAGATAGGGATAAGGTCTGATTTACAGAATCTGGTCTCTTTCCTTACACGTATGCAGAACAGAAAATATTTGCGTGGAGTGACTAAAACCTTTAGGATCCTCCTTTTTTTTTTTAACGATAAGCTGTGCCCTCTTCCCTGCCTATTGTGAGTCTGCAGTTAAACATCCCAATGATTCAGCGTACACACTTCTTAGTCTCACTGTTATGGAGGAGGACACGGAGGCTCAGTGTGCCTGAATTAGATGGAATTTAAACCCAGAGCCTTCTCACTCTGAAGTATCCACTACTCCACATTAGCATTTGCTCTACCATTCTCAGGAAAGGAAGGAGGATTCATAGAAAAGATATTTTGAGCCACAGCTCCTCTGTGTGAAACTACCAAGGAGGGAAGTTTGACACTGTCTGGTCCTTGCCTTCATCACCCTCGTCCTTCTTCACCATAAGTAGTTGATTTCATTATGAAAGAAAGAAGGGTCATTCCCATCAGAGGAGCAGAGACAGGGGTGGCTAGTGTCTAGAGAAAAAGTAGAAAAATCCTGTGTGCTTCTTCAGTCCATGGGCCAGCAGAGCACATATTTCTCCCTGTCCTTTCTAGGAGCCTTGATTCCTAGAATACTAATTCTCAATTTTATCTCCTGGTGTTGAAGTCATTATAATCATTCCTTATTCTTTCTCCAAAGCCAAAGGCCACTGAAGCTGCTCTGTCCCTGGACAGTCAGCAGAGTGGACCCCTGGGTCCCTGTAGAGTCTCATAAAGGCTGGCTATTACAAAAGAGTAGTGTCCCCTGTGCCCCAGTCCCAGAAAACCTCTATCTCCTCTATAGACCTCGATCTCCTTCAGCACTAACAGTCAGTCAAGATTTGGGTCTCTACCACCCTTGTATCTTAAACTAGTCTCTTAATCTCGCTAGGTTGGTTCCCCAGCTGCCAAAAGTGTTGTATTAGGTAACCAAGAATTTTTCATGCTATTCCTTGATTCTGTGGTGGTTATCCTTGCTCTGTTATATGAAATAATACATATAAATCTTCTCACGTACTTTGGGACCGGATACAAGGAGAAAGATTCAGGAGCACTGGCCCTCAGTGTATTTATGTGTTTTCCTCTGGGTGCTGGGTGCAAGCCCAGATGATGATGATAGAAGCAGCATTGCATAGTAGCTCAGAGGGAGGACGATGGGGCCAAACTAACATGGTTGAGATCTTGACTGACCCCACATACCTACTGTGTGACCTTGGACAAATTATTTCCTCTTTCCATGCCTCTGTTCTTCTGTCTAGAAAGAGGAGTAAATAATGGCACTTACTCTGTAGGGTTTAGAGGAATATTAAGTTCTCCCTCCGCCCTGCTCTGCCACAAGTGACCCAATCCATGTGTCCCTTTTTGCTGAAGAAGTTCCCATCCAGGCTCATGGGTTGCCCTGTGCCTGCAGGTCCTTAATGAGTTCCAGGAAAATGTGTGAGTTGTAGTTTATCCAGCCTTTTCTGATCATTAGTGTGGGATCAGTGCTTTTTTACAGCTTTCTAAACCTAACTTAGAAGCAGAAATGAGACCATATATTTTCTTAATTTAGATATACATAATAATTATAATGGCTTAGACAGTAATTGTTTAGACAAGCTCCTCGTACATGGTAAGCATTTATAAATGTTTAATTAAATAAAGAATTATCGAATACAATGCATTACGCATGTACAGGTATTTAGTAGAAATATTGTTTCCCTTACTATAAACCATTTCTGCTTTCTATAGTCAGCATGTTTAATGGGGAATGTGAAAAGGGTAATTTGTATCTGCCTACCAGGTAATCCAATGGAAGGGTTTCAACTGACGTCCATATTGGGACTCTCACCAATAGAAATGTATATTTCCTTTTCCTGCCACTGAAATTTTTGATACAAGAACCACTGCACATATATAAGGGGTAGATGCTAGATTGTACCCAATTATTATGAGTCCAATTTGTAAATTATACTCTGGAAAACTTATAGCTCAGTCCCACCCAATTTGCTAACCATTCCCTGCCCCCTCCCATGTAATAATAATCTTTAGTCCAGATTGTACCTGTTCCTGGTACTTAATACCAAAAATTACAACTAATATTTTTGGAATGCTTAATATGTGCCAGATATTTTTCCAAGTTGTTCATTTAGATTTTCTCATTCATTTGATTCTTGAAATAAATCTGTAGTTTGGGAACTGTCATTTTCCCTCATTTTAGAGATAAGGATTCTGTGGCACAGAGAGGTCAAATCATTTTCTCCACTTTACAGAGCTGACAAAAAGCATATCTGGGATTTTCATTCAGAGAGTACAGCTCCACCATATATATGAGAATGCACTACACTGCCCTACCCCATAGTGTTTCTAGCATTATGGATGTGCTTTATTTTATATTAATAAGTAATCATTGAAATGTAGGCTCACCAAGGGATCTGTGTTTTATTCAATATTTGACCAAATTCCTAGAACAGTCCCTGACACATAGTAGGTGATCAGTTAATATATATTGCTGTTGTTAAAATGAGAAAATTGTGGAGGGTTTAACACATGTTTTGTGCTACCAGCATGGAGAAGGAGCATGAGAAGTTCATATGAAAAGGCAGGAGAATCTTTGCTCGTTTGGACATCACTACATCCCATTCTGGAATTTTCCCCAAGGAAAATAATTTTTTAAGAGGTAAGAAAAGAATAAAGGAAAGAAGGAAGAGTAGGAAATAGAGTGGGTGCCCCCACTATCTCCTCTCAATGTCTTCCAACTGATGGACCCTCTAGTTTAACTTCTACAATCAAACACAAAATTTGTTTATGGCAGGGTGATTATAGGGGTAGAAACTGACCCATTTCAAGAAAGATAACACTGTTCTCACTTTCTTGGGGTTTCTATGAGGAAAAATGCTGCCACTAGTCAGTCTTTCTCCTAAGAACTCCCCCAGATCATATGCACTTAGTGTCAAGTATTCATGTGCCTAATGCGTTAACATGATTTTTTAAATCTTAGTTAATATTCAGTACAAAATTGGTTTCAGGAGTAGAACTCAATGATTCATCACTTACATACAACACCCAGTGGTCATTCTAACAAGTTCCCTCATTAGTACCAATCACCCATCTAGCCCATCTCCCACCTATCTCCCTCCATCAACCCGCAGTTTGTTCTGTATCATTAAGAGTCTCTTGTGGTTTGCTTCCCTCTCTTCTCTAGCCTCCTTCCCCTATGTTCATCTGTTTCATTTCTTCAATTCCACATATGAGTGAAATCATATAGTATTTGTCTTTCTCTGATTGACTTACTTTGCTTATCATAATACATTCTAGCTCCATCCACATTGTTGCAAGTGGCAAGATTTCATTCTTTTTGATGGCTGAGTAATATTCCAACATGTGTGTGTGTGTGTGTGTGTGTGTGTGTGTGTGTGTGTGTGTGTATTTTATTCATTCATCAGTTGATGGACATTTGGACTCTCTCCATAGTTTATCTATTGTTGATAGTGCTGCTATAAACATCAGGGTGCATGTACCCCTTAAAATTCATATTTTTGTATCCTTTGGGTAAATACCTAATAGTGCAATTGCTGGATACTAGGGTAGTTCTATTTTTAGTTTTTTGAGGAACCTCTATACTGTTCTCCAAAGTGACTGCACCAGTTTGCATTCCCACCAATAGTGTTAGAGGGCTCCCCTTTCTTTGCATCCTCACCAACATCTGCTGTTACTGTGTTATTAACTTTAGCCATTCTGACAGGTGTGAGGTGGTATCTCATCATGGTTTTGCTTTGTATTTCCCTGATGATGAGTGATGTTGAGCATCTTTTAATGTGTCTGTTAGCCATCTGGATATCTTCTTTGGAAACCATCTCTTCATGTCTCCTGCCCATTTCTTAACTGGCTTGTTTGTTGTTTTGGGTGTTGAGTTTTATAAGTTCTTCATAGATTTTAGATACTAACCCTTTATCAGATATGTCGTTTGCAAATACCTTTCCCATTCTGTAGGCTGCCTCTTAGTCTTGTTGATTGTTTCCTTCACTGTGTAGAAACTTTTTATCTTGGTGAAGTCCCAGTAGTTCATGTTTGCTTTTGTTTCCCTTGCCTTCTGCCATGTGTCTAGTAAGAAGTTTCTCTGGCTGAGGTCAAAGAGGTTGCTGCCTGTGTTCTCCTCTAGGATTTTGGTGGTTTTCTGTCTCATATTTAGGGTTTTCACCCATTTTGAATTTGTTTTTGTGTTTCACCCATTTGTGAATTTGTTTTGTCTCATTCTTCTGCATGTCGCCATCCAGTTTTCCCAACATCATTTGCTGAAGAGATGGTCTTTTTTCCATTGGATATTCTTTCCTGCTTTGTTGAAGATTAGTTGACCATATAGTTGTGGGTTCATCTCTGGGTTTTCTGTTTTGTTCCATTGATCTGAGTGTCTGTTTTTGTGCCAATACCATGCTGTCTTGATGACTACAGCTTTGTAATACAGCTTGAAATGGAGACTCATGGTGCCTCTAGCTTTGTTGTCTTTTTCAGGATTGCTTTGGCTATTCGGGGCCTTTTGTGGTTCCATAAATGTTTTAGGATTGTTTGTTCTGCCTCTGTGAAAAATGCTGATGGTATTTTGACAGGGTTTGCATTAAATGCGTAGATTGCTTTGGCTATTATAGACATTTTGACAATGTTTGTTCTTCCAATCCAGGAATGCTTTTGCATTTCTTTGTGTCCTCTTCAGTTTCTTTCAAAGTGTTCTATAGTTTTCAGAGTACAGCTCTTTTACCTCTTTAGTTAGGTTTATTCCTAGGTGTCTTACTGTTTTTGGTGCCGTTGCAAATGGGATTAATTCCTTGATTTCTTTTCCTGCTACTTCATTACTAGTGCATAGAAATGCAACAGATTTCTGCATATTGACTTTAGTATCCTGCAACTTTGCTGAATTCATGTATCAATTCTAGCAGCTTTTTGGTGGAGTCTTTTGGGTTTTCTACATAGAGTATTATGTTGTCTGCAAATAGGAAAGTTTGACTTCTTCCTTGCTGATTTGTATGCCCTTTATTTCTTTTTGTTGTCTGATTGCTGAGGTTAAGACTTCCAAAACTATGTTAAATAGTAATGGTGAAAGTGGAAATCCTTGTCTTGTTCCTGGCAGTAGGGGAAAGGCTCTCAGTTTTTCCCTACTGAGGGTGATATTAGCTGTGGGTCTTTTGTATATGGCATTTATGATGTTGAGGTGTGCTCCCTCTATCCCTACTTTGTTGAGGCTTTTTATCAAGAATGCATGCTGCATTTTGTCAGATGCTGTTTTTGCATCTATTGACAGGATCATATGGTTCTTATCCTTCCTTTTATTAATGTAGTTATCACAGTGATTGATTTGCAAATATTGAACCAGACCTGCAAGCCAGGAATAAATCCCACTTGATCATGGTGAATAATTCTTTTCATGTACTATTGGATTTTATTTGCTAATATCTTGTTGAGAATTTTTGCATCCATCTTCATCAGGGTATTGGCCTGTAATTCTCCTCTTTAGTGAGGTCTTTTTATGGTTTTGGAATCAAGGTAATGCTGGCCTCATAGAGTGACTTTGGAAGTTTTCCTCCTCTCTCTCTCTCTCTCTCTCTCTCTCTCTCTCTCTCTCTCTCTTTCTTTCTTTCTTAACAATTTGAGAAGAATAGGTATTAACTTTTCTTAAATGTCTGGGTAGAATTCTGCTAGGTAGAATTCTGCTAGGAAGGCATCTGGCCCAGGACTCTTGTTTGTTAGGAGATTTTTGAATACTGATTCAATTTCTTGCTGGTTATGGATCTATTCAAATTTTCTATTTATTCCTATTTCAGTCTTGTTAGTTTTTGGGTTTCTAGGAATTTGTCCATATCTTCCAGATTGCCCAGTTTGTTGGCATGAAATTTTTCATAGTATTCTTACAATTGTTTGTATTTCTGTGGTGTTGGTTGTGATCTCTCCTCTTTCATTTGTGATTTTATTTATTTGGGTCCTTTTTTACTTTTGATAAGTCTTGTTAAGTGCTTACCAATTTTGTTTATTCTTTCAAAGAATGGGCTCTTTGTTTTGTTGATCTGTTGTTGTTGTCATTGTTGTTGTTTCTATTTCATTTATTTCTGCTCTAATCTTTGAAAAAAAATTTTTAATGTTTATTTTTGAGAGAGACAGAGACAGAGTGTGAGCAGGGGAGGGGCAGAGAGAAAGGGAGACAGAATCCAGAACAGGCTCCAGGCTCTGAGCTGTCAGCACAGAGCCTGACGCGGGGCTCGAACCCACAAACCGTGAGATCATGACCTGAGCCATAGTTGGACGCTTAACCAACTGAGCCACCCAGGCACCTCTTTATTACTAATCTTTAATTCTTCTGCTGGCTTTAGTTTTTATTTGCTGTTCCTTTTCTAGCTCTTTTAATTGTAAGGTCAGGTTGTATATTTGGGACCTTTCTTGCCTCTTGAGATAGGTCTGAATTGCAATATACTTCTCTCTTAGGACTGCGCTTGCTGCATCCCAAGGGGTTTGGACTGTTATGTTTTCATTTTCATTTACTTCCATGTATTTTTTAATTTCTTCTTTAACTTCCTGGTCAACTCATTCATTCTTTATTATGATGTTCTCTAACCTCCATATATTTGAGGGCTTTCCAAATTTTTTCTTGTGGTTGACTTCAAGTTTCATAGCATTGTGATCTGAAAATATGCAGGTATGATCTTGATCTTTTTGTACTTGTTGAGGGCTGATTTGTGACCCAGTATATGATCTGTTCTGGAGAATGTTCCATGCACACTCGAGAAGAATGTGTACTCTGCTGCTTTAGGATGAAATGTTCTGAATATATCTGTTCAGTCCATCTGGTCAAGTGTGTCATTCAAAGTCATGGTTTCCTTCCTGATCTTCTGCTTCGATGATCTGTCCATTGTTGGAAGTGAGATGTTGAAGTCCCCTACTATTATTGTATTATTACCAACAAGTTTCTTTATGTTTGTTATCAATTGAGTTATATATTTGGGTTTTTCCAAGTTGGGAGCATAAATATTTACATCTTCTTGATGGATGGACCCCTTAATTATGATATAATGCCCTTCTTCATCTTTTGTTACAGTCTTTGGTTTAAAATCTAGTTTTCTGATATAAGAATGGCTATTCTGGCTTTCTTTTGATATCCATTAGCATGATAGGTGCTTTTTTTACCCTTAACTTTCAATCTGCAGGTATCTCTAGGTCTAAAATGAGTCTCTTGTAGGCAGCATATAGATGGATCTTGTTTTTTTATCCATTCTGACACCCTATGTCTTTTGATTGGAGCATTTAGTCCATTTGCATTCAGAGTGATTATTGAAAGATTTGAATTAAGTACCATTGTGTTGCCTGTAAAGTTGGTTTTTTTTAGTCATGTTCTCTGGTCCTTTCTAGTCTTTGTTGCTCTTGCTTTTTTTTTCTTCTTCAAGGAGTCCTCCTTAAATTTCTTGCAGAGCTTGTTTAGTATTCACAAACTCCTTTAGTTTTTGTTTGGGAAACTCTTTATCTCTCCTTCTATTCTGAATGACAGCCTTGCTGGATCAAGTATTCTTGGCTTCATATTTTTCCCATTCAGCACATTGACTGTTTCTTCTCACTCCTTTCTGGCCTGACAAATTTCAGTGGACAGGTCTGCTGCTAACCTTATGTGTCTACATTTGTAGGTTAAGGACCTTTTATCCC